ACAAGTCGGAAGGTCGCGGGTTCAAGTCCCGATGGGGTCATTGGATTTTTTTTATTATTGAACTAACCCTTCCAGCCGTACTATGGCCCAGGGGTCGATTCAACCTTTAACAGAAATGAGTACCAGGAATATTCTTGGGGGTAAAGGGCGGCCGGCGCGTAGGGCTGACAACCTTGCCGCCATCTATTAGCCGATTGTCTAGAAAATGTGGGAACCTCAACATCTCATAACCCTATGGGCCTCCACGGCCTGTTACAGGGATACGTTTACCTTACTTTACTTTAATAACTTATTTCCTGGAATACTGTTACTGTATAATCACATCAAACCCAAAATATACGTTGACTTCTGTTATGTAACTCTCTATCGCTGCTTAGGCTTTCCTCCCTTATTTGATTTTGCTGTTGCAAATTTATCTCACAGTTCGTTGCAATCTGGTATAATTTATTTTTTTTGTTATATTCCACCATACAGCTGGCACAAGAACTACATTTTTAGCCTTGTTTTTTTAACGACTTATATATGTATAAATTGATAAAGTAACTCCATAACCCCATGTTAGGCGGGTCCCTTGTCACCACGGCATGGAGACGCCCTCCAGTTTTGGAGGGAAGCTGCGAATATATTGAATAAGCAGTCGCGGACAGCCGACAAGGGGTGGTCCTCCAGCTTTGGGCTTGGGCGTAGTACTAACAACTCCTCACCGTAAAAAATAATTATGTTACGAAAATGAATACAAAGCCTCGGACCTGGACGGATTCCTCTGGATAAACGACCTAAGCTAATGAAAATGGGTATGAGATTTGGCACTTGGAATGTTCGAAGTTTGTATAGGGCAGGTTCGCTCAGGGCAGTGGCAGAGGAAATCTTAAAATATAAGTTAGATTTAGCGGGAGTACAGGAGGTCACATGGGATGGAGGTGGCATCGCACCAGCAGGAGACTATACATTTTTCTATGGAAAGGGGAAAGAAAATCGTGGATTTCAATGCCAAAGTAGGGAGGGAAGACATTTTCAATCCAAAGATTGGGAATGAGAGTTTGCGTGAAATTAGTAATGATAATGGAGTTAGAGTAGTAAACTTTGTCACATAAAAAAATCTTACTGTCAAAAGTACAATGTTCCCACACCGTAACATCCATAAATTTACTTGGGCATCTCCTGATGGGAAGATACACAATCAAATAGACCATATTTTGATAGATATGAGACGGCACTCAAGTATACGTGATGTCCGATCATTGAGGGCAGGAGATTGTGATACTGACCACTACCTGGTGGTGGCAAAGGTTAGGGAAAGACTGGCAGTGAGCAAACAAACAACACACAGAATTCATATAGAGAGGTTCAATCTCAAGAAATTAAATGAGGTAGAGGGTAAAGAGCAGTATTGTGTTGAAATCTGAAATAGGTTCGCGGCTTTGGAAAACTTGGAAACTGAGGTGGATGTTAATAAAGCTTGGGAAACTATTAGAGAGAACATAAACATGTCTGCCAAAGAGAGTCTAGGTTATAATGAACAGAAGAAGCATAAACCATGGTTCGATGAAGGATGCTCAAAATTATTAGATCAAAGAAATCAGGTCAAATTGCAATGGTTACAGGATCCAAGCGAGTTAAATGGGGATAATATGAACAATATAAGACGTGAAACCAGCAGGCATTTCAGGAACAAAAATAGTGTTACGTGTTGGGTATGTCACGCGACAAATAACTTCACTTGGGTCTCGGATTTAGCGAATCTATTGGACACTCACTCTTACACACCTTACAATTATTAACACGTGCAGTATCACCTGACTTCTGGCCCAATACTCCAATGCGTCAATTAGTTTGTGTGTTTTTCTTTATGGTATCTACATCATCACACAGTAGATTCACATCATCGGCATAGATCAACAGATGATGTGTCCCGCTTAATTTCAGTCCCACCTGGCGTAGCTGCAGAATTGGCGGCTCCTCCAGAAGAGCTCAGTTCCATGAATTAGTAAGTAAGTAAGTAGGTAAGTAACTCCATAACCAACATAAATCAGGGTTTCTCGGTTTGGGGAGGAACTCGTGAGAAGTGAATTTGTTAAGTACGGGTTCGGTATTCGGGGGTTGATTCCCAAGAGGAATCGTGTGAGGAGCTCACAGGAACCTGAAGGTTCACCATTGCTTTTGCTCAAGCTGCACACAGATGATTAAACCATTTTTAGCCCAGTGGCATATTATTTAATATTTAAATTTATCTGCCAAGCACAGTTAATTCTGATTTTAACACACTGATGTGGAGAACAATAATATTATGACTTGTAACCAGAAGCATAACATTTTGTTTTGACACAGTTCAGTTTCCAATTTCATTAGCTGTGCCATGTTCTAGGTGTCAAGTGGATGCTTCTGTTTGTTTTTCCCACCAGCAAAACATTTTGAACTACAAGAACAGTGCGGTGTAGTGGTAATGACTCAGAGACACAGAATTGTATTTGGTAGGTGCTCTCTTTGTATTTTGTCCAGGGCACTGGCCATCTTACACGCACCGTGAGTACTGTTGCGTGTGTAGGACGTCATGGCCATGTCGATGAAACTAACGAAACTGCACTCATATCCAAGATACCCCGGATCCGATACTGGGCCCGGATTGCTGTTTATCTCGATTCTGCTCAGTAACTCCCGTCCTTTCACTCATTGCAGGGACTGCGCTTGTCTGCCATGTTGGGCGCCCTTGGAACGGCGGCCGGGTCGTGGATCAAAGTGGCTTCAGCGTCGCCCGACATGTTCGTGGTAGCATTTGTGGGGCAGACGCTGGTCGCCATGTCACAGGTGTTCATCTTGAGCGTCCCTGCACGACTCGCCGCCGTGTGGTTCGGTCCAAACGAGGTATCCTCGGCTTGTTCCGTTGGCGTGTTCGGGAACCAGGTGAGATTTTGTGACAGTGCCTCGTGCGTGCTGCATATGTCGCCAATTTCGTCCTCCTCCGATGTTAAATTGCTGGAAGCCTGCTGGTGGCAATGACCTCTGTTCTTGCATAATCCCATGATGCAGCAGCGCAGGACAATGAAACATAGGCATCTTCGTCATGACCTTGAGGTGGCTATCTGTCTTGATGGTTCTCCGTCTGCATGTTGCAGACCGAGTACCTCTAGACGAATTTTTGACAAAATCTGACACGTGCCTTATGCCACTGGTGGCCTCCCAAACGCGCTTTTCTTAATTTCCTCCAAGACTTAATAACAACATGGCGGACACAAGAACGTGTTAATAGAAGCAGCCCCGTCAGCACCACTGAAACGTGTGACAAATGATAACACTAATAACTACAGTAGCCATAATAGTCTTTTCGAGGAGGGTCAGGCTCCCATATTTATATCCCCAGGAACAGGGTGTCCCAGTTATACCACCGGGCACTGGGTTCCCTTTTCGTCGCAACCTACGACTCGCAGGGCTACGGTGGAGGAATCCGTCATCGGTCAGAGTCAGAGTTACTTAACGACTGGCTGTTTACCGCCAATCAGTTTGTCTTTGCTTCAGCCCCTTGAGCCCCACGACCAGAGATTCTTTTTCTCCCAACTGAACTCTTGCGGTAATAGTCATTATGTAACATCCCATCTGACGAGAGGCCCGCACAGAAAATGTCTCTTCCATTATTGCGCTTTCTCTCGTTACCGGGGTAACGTGTCCTCAGAGCTGTTCCCTAGCAACGGCTGCTATAATGACGTCTGTTTAGCCAGTTGTTACTTGACGAGAGGTCTACATGTCACAGTATCAACGACACTAAATAGAAAATTCAGAGTAATGAAAGTCAGCGAAATGAGGACTGAATTGGAAGCCGTGCTTGTAATGAGATGGGAAGATGCAGGCCACGTATGAAGAACTGGAGACGATAACCGTTTCGAAGAATGTCACAGTAGTTAAGGTCACAAACCCGGTGCTCCGTCCCAGACCGACCGGGTGAAGATGCGGAATGTCCCCAGATAACAGCGCCCTATCACCCAGTGCTTTGGTGCCACCAGTATTCCTTGAATCTTCCTTTTTATCTTCTCGTCTGATGTCTAGAAACGTAAACAAGCGAGATAACTGACTTCGGGAGGTGCGCGATTCAAATTTCAGTTGGAACATCGGCTACCCTCAGTCACTCCAGACTAATCCCGAAATAGTACCTTCAAACTGACCGCACTGCTTCCTTCCACAGAGGTTCTACTTCACTGCCCATTCTACAGTTCGACCTTTTACTGTGAGCTACAGGAAATCTCACATACAAATAATTTTAAACTTATAAACTTGTTAGCTTATCTCCACAGCGCTGCCTGCTCAGCATTTATGAGTAGTATCCTTGAGGTCCGTATAAATACAGTTCGTACGATTGTGAAATACTGTGTTCAGAAACAAAATATAGCGTTGAAGGGAAATTGTTCATATATAGTACGTTGGTACAGAGTTCTCAATGTATAAATTCCGCAGAAAGTATCCTCACATTATGGTGACGTGTAAAGGAAGGATTTGCAATAACGCAACAACATTACATTGTACCGGACCGTTGGTGGTCAAATGAAATCTCGAAAAAAAAAAAAAAGGACTTGTACAGACTGAAGAAAAACTTGATACTGATAATCGATTAGAAGCCCGAAGAAGTCGTTACATCTTCTGGGATATAATACAGTGTAGTCCGTTAAATACTCAATCGACATTTCGGAAGAATATATCGCTTCCGTCTTCAGGATCTAAGAATAAGCCGAGCAAGATACCAGCGAGAAAGCAGGTGTGTTGACATCCGTTGACTCGCAACGGAGTAGTAGTACAAGTTATGAAGCCCCTCACTTCTCTTCAATCTCCCGTCACTTCATCTCCCTTCGGCCCAAATATTCTCCTCAGCACCGTTCTCAAACACCCTCAGTCTGTGTTCCTCCCTTAATGTCAGAGACCAAATTTTGCAGCCATACAGAACCACAGGCAAAATTATATTGTTGTATATTCTAATTTTTATGTTTTTAGACAGCAGATGATAAGGCAAAAGCTTCTGGGCTGAATGGTAGCAAGCATTACCCGAATTCGTTGTCCTCTTAATTTCCTCCTGAATCAAGTTCTGATTTGTTACTGTCGTTCCAAAATATCTGACCTGTGCCACATTTTCAAAACATCTGTTACCTATCTTTATGTTATGATTTTGCCCTGCATTTTGGTGAGGAGACAGAAGTGGGAACTATGAAACGAAATGTGCGTCCGTTCTTGTGCTCCGAACCCCGTCTACAGCGAACACCCTGTTTCGGTTGACCCTCTCTTCGCCATTTTAATTCAAGGTATGCACCATGGAACCCAGCAGGGAGAAGGTAAGTCTGGCTTGCCCCCTTTCACCCTGGATTTCTGGGGGAAAACTCAAAGTTGGGGGAAAGAACTATACCATATACTAATAATACATTAAAAAAGTATTTAAACTATATATTCTTCTCTCCTGAAAACCATGGGGCGAGATGTAAATTGTTTAAATGTAAATTTGTACCTAATTTTCTGATTACTCCCCCCTTGAAACTGTTGGAGGCGCTCATGCTACAAGTATCCACCTTGTTTCTTCAGCAGTTTTAATATTATCATTCCCTCTGCGCCCTGGTCTCCCTGATAGCCTCTTGGGGATTGCTGTATACAGACTGAAGAAGGAACAGAGACGGCAGCTTCGCGGAGCTGTAACAGCCGAACCACACGGCACAGGGAACGAGGAAGTCTCCTTAGCCACCTGAAGCCATAACATCTAAAAACACAGAATTCACAGCGTCTCTGTTACAAAGACCAAACAGTTAATGCTGAACAGGGAAATAGCCTGTTTATTGTATCATACGAAATACATCAATGACTCTGCGGCCCTTTTTTGGGCCCTGGGCGCTATTTTCGATTTCGTAATGCTATACACAGACGGTAGTACTGCTTGGTCGGGTATTAGCTCGTCGCAAGGCCGCTACTTACAGAACACAAACAGAATAAACGCACACAGACACCCAAGCCTCAAGTGGGATTCGGACCTACGACCCCAGTGTTCAAGCGAGTTCGTGCCCTAGACGGCGTGGCCACTTTGATCGGCACGTAAATACACTGTGTGGGCAAAATTAGAGTTGTTTATCTTGAAGCGCGGGGTAAAGTAAACGTAAAGCTATCCCTGTAACAGGACGTGAAGGCCCATAGGGTTGTGAGACTTTGAGGGTCTCACATTATCTAGACAATCGGTGCAAAGATGGCGGTAAGGTTGTCAGCCTTACGCGCCGGCCGCGCTTTACTCCATTGGAAAATTACTTAATTAATTCCTGGTGCTCATTTCTGTTAGAGGCTGAGTCAACTCAGGGCCATAGTGCAGCTGGAAGTATTAGGTCAATTGGAAAAAATCCAATGACCTCATCGGGACTTGAACCCGCGGCCTTCCGGCTCGTAGCATAGTGCCTCAACCAACTACGCTACCCATATAGTTAATGTCGCGTTTTATAGGATTGAAAGCTGGAAGGTTCAGCCAGTATACAGTTTCTATCTGAAATGAACAGTTTGCAGGGCCACTACTGGCTGATGATTTCAATTGGGAGGGGGTGGGGTTACTTTACTACAATCTATTTGGGCTATATAGCGTCGAATTGTGGGAAGACAGATTAATTATTAATTGGAAGGTACAGTAAATTCTCGCTAATCCGGAGAAACTGAGGAGGGAAGGCATCCTGTTTAGTGAAGCAAAAGGTAACCTGAAAGATAAAAAAAAATTATAATGCAAATAATTGCAAAATGTAATGATATGAGTAGTGCTGACGAAAATAAAGAAGTATCACGGCTGAGCCTTTATTTAAAAACTATAAAAAGACAAAACATTTATTCATCGATAGAAGACTCAGAAGTTGCGCTTGTTTTCGGAAGTAATAATGCAGGTCTGAAGATACTGTCAAGTTTTGCGTTAACAGACAAGTGACTCATCTGCCTTCCTGAATGGCACGTGTCTTTTAGAGTATGTACCCAGCTATGAACAGCATTTTCCATATTTCGATCCGGATTAACTATAACTGGATTAGCGAAGGTCTACTGTATTTGGAAGAAAGTGATGGGGCCTAACTGACGTATTACCGTGGCATTTGTATGGAGGGACTGAGTAAAACCACGATAAAACCTAGGTCAGAATAGCAAGCCAAGACTTGAACAGAGTACGTCTCGATTACAAGTACTGAGCATTACCGCTGCGTCAACCCGCCCGTCCTGATAACGATTTCCTCCTTCAAACTGCTCCCCCCCCTCTGACGACGTGGTCCAGCCAACGAGGTCACGGACCAGGAGGAATATGTGTCGTCCAAGTGTAATTTAATATTGTGATAAGATGATAATTGTATGGTGACATCGTATCTAGCAAATACAGCTTATGCACTTCGTTCATGGTGTGAACGGAAACTCCGTAAGCCTGTTCGGTACAAACGGAAAATCTAGTTCGCAATGAGCCGGCGTTACTAACAAAGCAGTTACGAAGCTCGGACACCTAATCGCAACCCACTATCTTAAATGCAGTAGAACGTAAAGTTGTATCAGTGCACTGGCCACTCATTACATGATTGCCTATTGTAAGAATCGCTGCAGTTTCAGAAACTTTCCACCATTTTGTAGCGACCAGCTGGCCAACTGCAGTTCACTACAGTAGTAAGACTGTCATATCCATCAGAATCATAACGGGTGCAGTTACGCTTACTCAACTACTCCACTTCGCATGCGATTAATCTTTTAAGGCTCACTGCACCACGTATTTTAACATACTCAAACTCTGCATTCTGCCCACACAGCGTATTTGTGTTTCGTATGGTTCTCACAGTAAACAGCGACTGTTTCCTATGAGATACGAACTGAATTTCTGTGTATGTTAAACAATTAAATTTTTAAGGGGTTAATAAAGTTTTGCCCTTCATTGATGTAACTATGTACACGGAAATATTATTCTTCGGTCATTCGGAAAGCTAATAGGTATTCTTAATGATAAAATATGAACGTAAAGTTATCCCTGAGCTTTATTAAGTAGCACACCATGAAGGCATATGTGGGAGTAGAGGTACAGCTCTACGCATTCTTACACTGGGCATTACATGGACATAAGTGGTCTGTGTCACGCTCCGTCCGCGTTACCCGTAGTACCACAGTATAAGAGTCGGATGGGCCCCTAGAGTCGATCTGGACGCTGCGAAGAGAAAAATATCTGTCCCTGTCGGGAATCGAATCTTGATTGACAGCCCTTAGTATCGCTTTGCCCATGATATATCCTGGCAGCGGCTGAATAAAGTTGTGAGGGGACAGATTGGAGTACTTCCTACTACAAGGCAAGCAGGACATCCTGTCACGTGAATGGAATCAAGCCCCACGCTGGCTGGCATGTCATCCTGTCGGGAACTGATGGCCCACGGGTCTAATGCAACAACGTAGAGGTCACTGAACAGCACTCGCCACGGTTACATCTAAATCACAGTGGCAACTGCCGGCACATGCTCGTTTTCCGTGTGATTCTCACAATACGCAGCGATTATTTCCCTATACAGCATTAATTAGTTGATCTTTTTAATGAGAAATACTTGTTTTCCATCCAGTACAAACTCAGTTTTTTAATCTTCTTTGATGAACTACAGGCTTCAAAGGAGTAGAAGCCAATAACGGGTTAGGTGTTTGATCCACTTTATATTTATCAAAATCGGTTAATAACAGCGCGTCACTCCATCTGTCTGGCTGTCACTAAATTCTACCTTGATATGTTCCAGTTAATTGACTTCCTCATACTAGGCCACCATTGGGCATGATAGTCAGTTTCACCCATCTGTTACCCCTTAATGTTATCCATTCTCCTCCCCTTTCTTCCAAATGCCGGTTTTCCAACGAGTTTCCAAACTGAAATTCCAAGTAAATTTCTGAGCTTTCAACAGAGCTACATGACCATCCAATCATAACCTCTTACTTTACTAACCCCTGACTAATCACTCCAACTTGCATCACATGATTGTCTTACAAAGATTACTCAAAAAGCACTGGACACATTCATTTTGCTAAAAGTAATTTTTGTTTCCACTTTCTGGCTCAGATATGCTGTTGCATTTACTTCTCTCTTAAGAATTACATTATACTATTTTTATACTAGATAAAATCATTCCAGAATATTTTCCCGTCACAGCACGAATCAATGTTAAGACTAGGCCCATAATAAAATGAAACATAAACTGGGACAAATATTACACCACTTTGATACAGTTAAGGTAAAACTAAAGTTAACGCTTTTCTTAATTAAGCACAGTGCCATGAAGAGAAGCGGAGATGTAGCTCCACATATCCATAACCTTGATTCTTGATGGAGCTGAGTGGTTGTCTTCACTTCCTGGTCACTTTGCACCCAATATGCGCTGAACAGGAGGCTGGGTGGGCCCCAGAACCAGTCTGCACGCCATGGAAAAGAGAAAGATCTCGTGTCTGCTGAGAACGGAACCGTGATACCTCGGTCATCCAGTCCATAGCCTAATCACTATACCAGCTGAGAATTTGATACAGTATGTTTATTTATTTACTGTATGTTCAGTGATACTCTCAGTACCTGAGACTATAAAGTGCCAAGTGATAGAATGATTACTGAAAAATTCGAAGGGATGCAAAGGGAGGCGGTTGTAGAACATTTAAAGTACTATCCCAACATTCGTCCTGAAGGCTAAAGGAAACAATGAGAAAATTCAGTCAGGAAACTTGTTACCTTGGTCAGGTTGTGAATCAGGCACCTCCTGAATAAAAATCGTGTTTCCCGCTGAGGCAACTTGCTTGACAGAGCACAGGGACTCATTACCTTCATAATTTTCAACAGCATATGCCATTACGTGGAAAAATGATAGCTGAGTTGCTACAGTGACTGACTATGGGCTGGACAGGCAGCGTTTCATTCCTGGCAAGGACAAGAGATTTTTTACTTCTACACAGCATCTAAGCCAGCTCTGGAGCCCATCCACACTCTCATCCAGTGGGCACTGGGCTCTCTTTCCTTTGGGGTAAAGCGGCCGGAGCACAAAACTGACTACTCACCTCCATCTAATGCTGAAGTCAAGAATGGTGGAGCTATACCCCCACACTCCTGTTTATCTTCATGGAGTGGTGCTTGCTTAATTACGCACAGGAATAACTTCACCTTTTTTATATTACACCTTTACAGGTGAGTTTCTGTATTCTTTACATATGTATTTAAATTTATTCATCCTCATTTCTATGTCATCTCATGGCCTATTTAATACTTTCTTTACATTACACTCAGTATGAATTAGTTATTTCAATCACTGTTCAACAACATCCAGCACTTTTTACGGTCACACTTAACACTTAAAATAATTTAATACTGTCTTTTGCTTTTTCGCGGCATTTTCCTTTTTACGGATATCCGTACGAAGCCTACGTAATATTAGCTTGTCACTTAATAAACTGTCCTCTTCACTCTCAAGATAGTCTAGTAAGGATTCCAAATGATTAAGCGCAGCACCATGTGATA